TCGTGTAAACGCTCTGTATATATAATCGTGTAAACGCTCTGTATATATAATCGTGTAAACGCCTCTATATATATAATCGTGTAAAAGCTCTGTATATATAATCGTGTAAACGCTCTGTATTTATTGTCGTTAAAAAGCTGTGTATTTATAGTCGTGTAAACGCTCTGTATATATAATCGTGTAAACGCTCTGTATATATAATCGAGTAAACGCTCGGTATTTCTAGTTTTGTAAACGCTCGGTATTTATAGTCGTGTAAACGCTCTGTATATATAATCGTATCAACGCTTTGTATATATATAGTCGTTAAAAAGCTCTGTTTATATAATCGTGAAAACGCTCTGTATTGATATTCGTTAAAAAAACTCTGTATTTATAATCGTGTAAGCGTTCTGTGTTTATAGTCGTTAAAAAGTTCTGTATATATAATCGTGTAAACACTCTGTATTTACAGTCGTTAAAAAGTTCTGTATATATAATCGTGTAAACGCTCTGTATTTACAGTCGTTATAAAGCTCTGTATATATAATCGTGTAAACGCTCTGTATTTACAGTCGTAATAAAGCTCTGTATATATAATCGTGTAAACGTTCTGTATTTATAGTCGTTAAAAAGCTCTGTATATATAATCGTGTAAACGCTCTGTATACATAATCGTTAAAAAGCTCTGTATATATCATCGTTAAAAACCTCTGTATTTATAGTCCTGTAAACGCTCTGTTTATATAATCGTGTAAACGCTCGGTATTTCTAGTTGTGTAAACGCTCTGTATTTATAACGGTGTAAAAGCTCTGTATTTATAACGGTGTATAATCTCTGTTTTTATATTCTTTTGTAAGCTCTTCAAATATAGTATTGTATAAGCTCTGTATTAATAGTTGTGTAAACGCTCTGTATTTATAGTCGTTAAAAAGCTCGGTATTTATATAATCGTTAAAAAGGTCTGTATTTATAGTCCTGTAAACGCTCTGTTTATATAATCGTGTAAACGCTCTGTATTTATAACGGTGTAAACGCTCTGTATTTATAACGGTGTAAAATCTCTGTATTTATAACGGTGTAAACGCTCTGTATTTATAACGGTGTAAAAGCTCTGTATTTATATTCTTGTGTAAGCTCTTCAAATATAGTATTGTAAACGCTATGTATTGATTGTCGTGTAAAAGCTCTGTATTTATAGTCGTTAAAAAGCTCTGTATTTATATAATCGTTAAAAAGCTCTGTATTTATAGTCCTGTAAACGCTCTGTTTATATAATCGTGTAAACGCTC